TCTGGTCTAGAGGTAAAATCTCCTAATCAGTACATCAGAACTCATGCCAGAATGCATAAATTTAACCCTCAGTTTTTTTTAGCAACTCTTTTAGAGGATATTGTGGAGTATGTTCACATTGAAATATTCTCGGATTACATGGAAAGTAAAGTTAAAAAATGCATGTGGAAATGCATTTGTATGTACATATTGTACTTCTTCACCTTCCAGTACCATACGTTTTGAAAGGGAGCTATAATGGCTTTGGGTCAATATTATTTAACATGCATTTAAAATGTTGGTAAACTGATGTGTTATATTTTGTTATGTTTTATATAAAAGCTTTATTTTACAAATAAACATTTAAAGCATTTAATTACATTTAACATTTAAAGTTTTCTAAAAAGAGGGCACACCAGAAGCGGTTTGCTTTCTGACTCCCTTCAATGAAAATATCATACACCTCACCTTTGTAACATCTCCAAAATACGCCCCTTCCTCACCAATGAAACCGCAAAATTACTCATCCACTCACTTGTTATATCTCGTCTTGACTATTGCAACTCCCTCCTCATTGGCTACCACTACACAGGATATCCCCCCTTCAGTCTATCATGAATGCAGCTGCTAGACTCATCCACCTGACCAACCGTTCAGTTTCTGCAACCCCCCTCTGCCAATCCCTCCACTGGCTTCCACTTGCCCAGAGGATAAAATTAAAAATATTAACAGTCACTTACAAAGCCATCCACAACTCTGCCCCCGGCTATATCTCAAACCTTGTCTCAAAATATCACCCTAACCGTCCACTCCGCTCATCCCAAGACCTCCTGCTTTCCAGCTCCCTTGTCAACTCCTCCCATACTCGCCTCCAGGACTTCTCTAGAGTCTCTCCCATCCTCTGGAACTCTTTACCCCAACCGGTCCGTCTATCTCCCACCTTGACTGCCTTTATGCGTTCCCTAAACACTCATCTCTTCAGGGAAGCCTATCCCACCTCAACCTAACCACTGAACCATCATGTTCTCAAACAATTCATCCCCACACAGCTACCTCCTCATGTATCACTTCTCCCTCCTTTTTAGATTGTAAGCCCTCAGGGGCAGGGCCCTCCTTACCATCTTGTCTTAAATTGTATTGTGATTGTAATGTCCTCCCTATATTGTAAAGCGCTGCGCAAACTGTTGGCGCAATTTAAATCCTATGTAATAATAATAATCTGATCAGAGGATAGAGTAGGGAAATTACAACTGCCCTGGAGACATAATTGGAAGTGAAAGGATTTCCTGTCTTAGACAGTTGTCACTAGAGCGGGTGTTCCCATTAGAAGATTTACCCTCACCTCTTGTTCTGGTGCCGACTGTAAAGTCTTGAATTTCCCAACACTTAGAAACAAACTAACTAACAAATAGAGAACATGTACTGTATATATAAAATATTGTTGTGCAATATTTTAGAATTGTTTAAAACATGAAACATTTAACTTTACTTTTCATGCGGAAAATAATAAATTATTTGATATGATGTGATGGACACAGAACAGTGGGTCATAATAGATAACCTTTAGCATAGTTTATAGTTAGAGCTGACTCTGTAATGATGTTAAGTAGTGTATATTTTGAATATCTTTATAAACTGAAAGTGACAAAGGATAATGGCCAGGATTGTCCAGGAAAAGTAAAGTGTTAATATATTAATTGCCTAAATATGATGCAAAATAGTGAAATAATTATGATGATCTGGTTTACAAATGCCAACCAAATGATACTTTCTCCAAAAAAAAGCATAAAAATGATGACTGAATTTTTTTTACATGTATGCTCAAAAATGATTATGCCTATGACTTTCATCACAACTTTAGATACATTCAAATATATATTAAAGTCTGAGCTTTTGAAAAAACATTTGTAATCTCCCTTTTAATGTGTTCTTTAATTTGAACTTGACCTTGACCTTGAATGTGACCTCATTAAACCCTTTTGTATTTTAACAGCAACAGGTCACAGGTAAAGCAATATAATTGCTATTGACATAAGTCCTCCAGAAACTATAAATAGGCTGTACTAGACAAGTTATTGTAAAGTCTATTTAATTTACCCTGGGGGAAGTTGGATAAAAAGAGAAACACACAAAAAATGTTTTTTATATTTAAAATGATATGGTGCAATTTAGTAATTAATTTAATAGAGCACCTCTGTTTATTTATTTTGTATATTTTTATTTTACCTTGCACTGATTATCAAGTAATAGTTTAGGTTCAAAATAAATCCATCCCTCAATTTAAAAAATATCTATCTGAATCAAGGTGCCTGTGGTTTATATATGTGTACAATGTTTGTGTAGATTTACCAAATTTAGATATAACAATTACCCATCGATGCTAGTAAAATGATCTCTGTGGCAGACAGAAACCCATAGCAACCAATCAGCATCTCTCTTCAGTTTGCTCAGTTGAGATTTGAAAATGAGAGATAGAAGCTGATGCAGCACAAATCTGCTCCAGATTTTGACTGATCCAGTTTTGATAAATCCCCCCCACTGAGTAAATGTTCCCCATACCAACTTGCTGCTGCAGCTTCTGGATATAGCATAAAGAACAGATGTAATATGACCTTTGTGCTAACTGCATATTTTCTGTGATGTTCCTAGCCCTGGCACATGTCTGTGCCACTGCCAGTTTCCCTGATAGTACTGACATAGACAAGAGAGGATAACAATGAATAGACAGTAGATATGGTAAATCTCTACTTCAGGTACACATCTTCGTTAGATTAAATGTCTTATCTTCCTGTTTACTAATATATGCACCAGTTGTAAGTGCCATGGATAGCGAATTCTCATTTTGCAGAAGTACGGGTATTAGGGTCCATAGGAAAACAACAAAGACCACTAAGCGATGAATAAGTTGCCATAAGAACGGGGTAAGGGCTCCTAAGAGGAAAGGATGAGAGGCAGTGAAAAAACAGCATAGGTATTTGAGAGGAGAGATAGGTGCACTAAGAAGAGAGCCAGGAACACAGAGGGGAGCAAATCTCACTGAAAAGAGAGCATGCCACAATGCAGGAGAGGAACCTTCACGAGATATGCACTAGTGGTTCTTCTGACAATTATTGCCATGTTTTCATGGACATTAGTATTGTTCTGGTTCTTGAGACTAAATGGAAGACATGACTGATGACATCCTACAGCTTTGTTGCTTTTTCTAACTATGACAGTGTGTTTTTTTCTATGCAGACATCTTTTTTATCAAGTAAAAAAGAGGAGGCTTGACTTTGACTAATATAGGTAAAAAGAATGTAAAATGCGGGATGTTTTAATGTTCACTACATTATAAGTGAGCTGGGACAGTCAACTCACGTAGTAGTATACTCAAAGTCACCAGTTGAATTAAAGTCTAAGTCCAGGCATAACTTTGTTTATTTTTTATTGAATAGAGTAGGGAAGGATTAGAACGAATGTCAGGTTTTTACTGCTGCCTATGTCCCCCACTGGATTTTCTCACCCTCTGCCTGTGTCCCCACTGGGTAGAATCACCCTCTGCCTATGTCACCACTGGATGTATTTAGTTTAACTGTCATGGTGGCGCATAGAAGTGCAGCAGCTTCTCTGGCTCTGGGTAAAATGGTTAAATTATATAAGCAGTGTAACCAGGCCAAGAAGGTACAATACAGCAGACCATCTGCACAATAACCTCCCTGGCGGTATTCCCGAGTGTGGCTCGGTGTTAAATTTCCTGACCAGGAGCGGTACCCCCGAGCCACACTCGGGAATACCCTGAATTCACACTCACCTCGTCCCATGATCCCCGCGGCGTCTTCTTCGCCCGATGCCGGCATCCGTCTCCAGCGTAAATTAGCGTCAGCGTCGTAGGGAGGCGGATCTGGCGGGAAATTCAAACGTAAAAGCACCCAATACATACAGTGCTATTACGTTACTCTAACGAATTCTTTCACCTCAGCATTGTCCCTAGAGATATTACCAGTGTTCTGCCTGCACTTTTACTATTCTGATTGCCTGAAAAACTTAAGAGCGTCCATGGCATCAAAAAAGCGTCTGCTGAGGTCAAAAGTGGTTTTTGAGCAGCTTGAAAATAGCAATAGTGATGTGGAATCACTTATTGAAATGAGCGACAGCGATGCGTGGGGAAGTTCGTCGTCAGTCACTGAAAGTGACGAAAGCGTGGATTCTGCGACCGAGCTAAGTGATGTGCGAAACTTGGTGCCCTATTGATTGTGGTACACGCAGCAGATCACGCAGCGCCCCCAGAATTCCCATTTACTGGAGCATCTGGTAGGAAGGTAGATGTGGAACATGACAACACCTTGGCCTACCTAAAATCATTTCGGACCGATGAGGTTATTGATTAAATTGTTACCGAGACCAACCAGTACAATGAGCAACAATCAGCTACTCTGCATGGGAGGTTTTCCAGAAGCAGAAAGTGGGAACCAGTGACCAGAGATGACATCTGGAAGTTTCTGGGCCTAATAATTCTTCAGGGAGCGGTGGGGAAACCCCTGCAGAAGTGGTAATGGACAACCAATAAAATACTTGCCACTCCATTCTTTGGCACTGTCATGTCGGAGTATAGGTTTACCCTCATAATTACGTTTTTACACTTCGCAGACAATGAGGAATTCGACAAAGCCACTCATCTTGGAATAGGAACATCTTCCGTTCTCTCACTCATTGAGCCATTGCTGAATCAGGGATATTGTGTAACAACGGACACCTTTTACACATCTCCAGAACTGTATGAGTTCCTTTTGCAACACAAAACGGATGCCTATGGAACCGTTAGGGCTAACCGATGCGACCTGCCGCCAGTGTTTGGCAAGAAGAAGCTGAATGCTGGAGAAATAGTTGCCTGGCAGAAAGGCAAAATGATGGCACTGCGGTGGCGCGACAAAAAAGATGTGTGCCTAATGAGTACTGTTCATAATGCCTCCACTGCTATGGTACACATGAAAGGTGGGAGAGACGTCATGAAGCCGTAAGTAGTAATAGGCTACAATACCACCATGGGAGGTGTCGACAGAGCTGACCAAGCCATGAGCTTCTATCCAGCAATGCGGAAACAGCAGAAGAAATATTATAAGAAAATCTTCAGGCATCTTCTTAAACAATGCTTGTGGAATGCCTACATTCTGCTAAAAAACCAAAGTGACAAGCCTGTGACGCATTTGGACTTCATCTGGAAAATTTCCGAACAAATCTTTTTGAACCACCAAACGCCATCAGTGAGTAGATCTGGACGTCGTGCTGTTGGCGTTGTCAACTCAGAACGCCTGACTGGTCGTCACTTCATGGTCTACATCCCACCAACAGAGAGAAAGTCAGCACCTACAAGTCTGTGCGTGGTTTGTTGCTCGAAGCGCGATGACAGCGGCAAAAAAATCCAAAAAGAGACCAGGTTCCATTGTCTCGATTGTGACGTCGGACTTTGTGCTGTCCCGTGTTTCAAAGTTTACCATAACCCGAGATGTTTACTGAAGTAATATTGCACCCTTGCTTTGGACAGATGTCAGTGTTTTTTGTTTGAATACATTATTTAATTAAATGTATTATTATTATATTATTGTTTTGTGTACTTATATCTAACTATTTGTTATATTATAATTTATGATTTAGTTTTTCAAACTTTATCATACCCGAGATGTCTACTGGACTCTTGTTTGGACAGATTTAGGTGAGTTATTCCTAAGATTTACTAAGAATTACAGGCCTACAATGTAAAACAACATATTTCCATGAAAAACAATGTACCGCTTTCAGTTGCTAAAATACTGAATAATCATACCGCCAGGGAGGTTAATAATAATTTGACTGCCTCATTTCCATCAGGGCTTAGAGCAGCGCTTAGGAGACTGCAGCTTCTGTGGACCTAAGGTCCAGCGGTAGCACACCAGAATAACAGACTATAGCAGCTTAGAGGCAAGAGGAAGCAATGAACATGGAAGTGGAAGAGGGTGAAACAGTTTGTTGGCTTTGCTTACATGACCAGGCCAGCTATTCCATTGCTCTTTCTGGCAAATGTTCGTGCACTGGATAACCAAATGGATCAAATTCGACTGAGACTGCATTTTTGTCGAGAGTCTTTCTCTTGAAAAGAACTTGGCTTAATAACAACATGCCGGACTCGGCTTTCCAACATGATGGGAGTCAACTCTTCCGAGCAGATTGTATTCATCTGTCTGGTAGAGCTTGAAGAGGTTCACTTTGTATTTACATTATGTATGTATGTACAGTAATTCCTGTGCTGCAGATAAATCAGGCACTGCTGCAGGTGATAAAGACTTTAGGGCTAGAAGGTTACGCTTTAGGGCTAGAACTACTATGCTAAGGAACAGCTTTTTCCTTAGTGCTGTGAGACTGACAAATGCTTCATCACCCTGATATATTTCAGCTAATATTAGTAGTATTTCTTTTCTGGGCATCACTGCAATTTATGATTTATAATACCGTACTCAATGATTGATAATATTGCAATCTTATTTAAAATCATGCTGCTTTTCATATGTAGTTGTTGCTCACATTGAACAAATTATTATTATTTAAATATAATTATCTATCTTCGCATTTGCATCTTTATACTTATGTTTACTTACTTATTTGTTTTGTTAAATTGTTTGTCTTGATTTTGTTATTGTAAGGTATTGAGTACCTTATTTCATTCATTTCTTTCTGTCTATTTTTCCTGGTGGCCATTGTGACCGAGACAGAAATGATGGAAAATCCAAAGACTAAAAAGTGTAGGTATATGAACCTTGAGATATGTGTACAGTGGCTAAGGAATATACATTTAAAGCAAGCACCATTCTCTCTAAAACTAGAACTCTATATTGGTCACGTTCAACCGTAGTGCAGCAAGACCTCCATAGGTCTCCATAGGGTGCTCCATAGGGTCCCAGGACCTTCATAAATCTATTATTGTCCCTGAATTTTCAACTATAAGTGGCTTATTTTTTCATAATAACTTTATATGTCTTTTTATATGTGATCGGCATCCAGAAGTGCTAAGGTCGAATAAGCATCTGACAACCTTTAATTCTCCACCTGCCATAAGAGGACCCACTTTCTTTCTTTTACGTTTTCATATCCAGCATGTCCAATATGCAATGGTGTGTTAACACAACACTTTGGGCGCATGCATGTACTCCCCTATAGAGAAAATAAAATAGCCACCAGAACCCTTAGAATGAACAGGAAAAAAAAGGCAAAGGAAGGCTAGAGTAACTCTTCTTACTGGGGCTCCCTGGGAGTTTTGGGACAGACATTCATCATATTTTCAAAACCATACTTAAACTGTAAGTAATTAGTATATTTTAACCTCCTTGGCAGCTTTCCCGAGTCTGGCTCAGGGTTAATTTTAAATACTAGGATCGTTAACCCCGATTATAATTTTACTCATGTTTCTCTTCATCATGCTGCAGTATGATAGAGTAAATAAATTATAGCCGCTTAGTGGAGATGCAAATTCGCAATCCATGAAAGTGTTTGTAAAACCAACAAATCATCATCCATAATTGCTCCCTTTGAAGCATTTAAATGCCATAGTGAATTCCTTTTTAAATTGTTATCAGTAAAAGCATAGTACTTGCTTGGTGATCTTGACATTTTCTGTGGGCTCTGGGTACATCCTGTTTCAGGTGACAATGCGTATCTCAGGTTTCCCTAATGTTGTGGTAGAGTTTGACTCTTTTGTGCACTTCTACTGTGAAATGTCAGCAGGCCAAGCCAAGCCAGCGCACTGCAGTATCTCGTGGTTGTTTGGCGACTGGCATCGCAAATGTTGGAAGTATTCTAGAGCCTACAGAAACAACATGGTTCACATATAGTTGAAAAAGTTTTGAAGTAGATGATAGGTGATATAGGTGGTATCCATCCAGTGCTGTAAGAGATTACTGAGAACACTGAGAACATAATAAATACTGTAAATTTGGAAATGAATTTCATGGCTCTTAAGCATATAAATAAAGAATGCAAAGAGGGATTAGAAGAGGGCTTGGGAATCTGTTTCTGCGATGTGCGGAATTCAAATCTCGGCCTTTAGTTTATGTTTTACTTAGTTATGCAAAAACAAGCAAGAAACAAACATAGAAAGGAATGTTGCACTGTGCACGGGATGCTGCCATTCTGTGACTTGCAATGAATTTGTTAACAGCACAGGGCAAGAATAAAACAGAAGTCATCAAGAAAATGCAGTGCTGGTGTAGCACATTCATCTCATCTCCCAGTCCATGGAAATGACTTGCTGTTAGGTCTGTACATTTCATGCAGATTATTACCAAGAAAGGCCCATGTTTGGTATTCAGTGTTGACACATAAAAGAGAACAGGATGGCACCCAGACAGGACCAGTTTGATGTGCTAAGGCAGTAATTTATCAAAGCTCCCTAGCTAAGAGAACCACATAGGCAGAACCATCCCGGATGTTTCAGTGGGGCATGAAATTGTTCCCTTATTGGTAAACACAAAAAAAGAAACACAAAAGAAAAATTTAAATGTTTTTTAGATATATGTGGGAATTATATCAGTTTAATGTATACAATCCTCTAAATGTATTTTAGTTCTGAACAGCACCCCAATGAACTTCGCAACCCCTCTTGTGCTGCATTGCACCAGACTGTACACTGTGTGTTGCAGTATGCACTACATTTTAGTGTTTGACAGCATGCCTCAGGGCACAAAAATGCATGTGTTGCAGTGCAGTGCGTTCTGGTGTGAATGGGCCCTACAAATCTTGTTTTGGTGTAAATTTTGCAACTATATACTGTATGTTCATAGGCACAGCCATAGTTTCTCATGAACTTTGCTTCAGGGTGGAACCTTGTTAATAGTTTTAACGTACTGCAAGTTTATCAGGCAGGATCTGTCTGATTTAAAATAATAGACTGTCTTTACTGACATTAAAAAACACCTGCAATGCTTATGGTAGCAAGACAGCATATGAATGTTTAGGCCAGCCTTTCTTAACCAAGGTGCCTCAAAGTTTTCACACAGCGTCATGCCTTTCTATGGTGCAGGCAGGCCAGCCACCAGCAAAATAGAAATGAATAATGTTAATCCAGGGAGTTTGGGATCCATTCAAAAAAGGATGGAAGTTCACCTCTATCCAGGCTTACATTTCCTCCCATGCTCTGCCATGCTGCCGCAGCTGTAGCTCCCAATGTGATGGTAGGACTCTAATTGGAAGATGGGGACTGAGGACACTGATGTGAAGGGGGACTCATGGCTCTGATACAAAGGGGGCTCGTGATTAAAAGGGGGAACTCTAATGTGGCAGGCAGGACTCTGATATGAAAGGAAGGAGCTCTTGATTGGAGGGGGAGGAGCCCCCTCCCCTGTTTTTTTAGATGGGGTTCCCCCTTAAAATCAATATCTGACCCCTATCTTGGATAAGGGTCTGGCATGGATTTTGAAAGGACCACATTTGTACACTTACATATTTTACATTTTAGATGGGGGTGCCTCAAGATGTTGCATACTTTTACAGGGTGCCATGACTGATAAAAGGTTGGGAAATGCTGGTTTAGGCAGTTCAGGAGCTGTGTGTGTGTGTGTGTGTGTGTGTGTATTTATAGCAAGAAAGGGGTTGTATTTTACTTGTTTTGGTCAAGCTGTAATCTGTGTTATGGATTCAAGTGGGATTTCATGACAGGTCCACTTTACCAAATTAATTCAATAAGTACAATCACGTGCAGTTGCCAAAAGCAAGGAATCAGAAATGATCTATAAGCTGTCAGAACAATGAAAGGAAACATGTGATTGATTACAATCTGTTTAAAGTTTGTTGGTTTTATTTAATGTAAAGCACAATGATGATGTGCAGAAAGAGGTGGGTCATAGCAACCACTGCAAAAACAAAACCCACAAATACCTAAATTCTAATTTACTGTAATGAATTAATACAGTTTGTATTTGTCAAATGGGGCCATGCTGCATTTATTATTATAACTTTCTCCATTGTGACTTACTAATGCCGGTGATTATCAAAGACACAATTCCAGCAAAAAAAAATTTCAATAAAAGCCCTGATTAAGTTATAAAATATTAAAAAGGTGGCATTGATTACATCTCAAAAAGCAAGTATGTCCTTAAAGCGTATGTCGAGGGGAAAAATAAATAAATATGCAGTACATATCTTCAATATATGCACATTTCTCTGTAGTTTATCCTTTTAATGTCCTTGTAAATACAGAAAAATACTACAAATGCACTCAGCTCTTAAAAGTGTATTTCCGTTTTCGCAGTCAAATTTGAGAAAACCCCTCTATATGTTTGTTATGTGTTCCTGTTCGTACAAAATACTGAAAAATAACTTCAGACAAAAAATTCTTACGTTTTAGATGTTTTGTTTAATCAGGCAAGATGGTTGATTCCAATGGTCTGTCCTAATGGAAAGATGTGGGACTGAAATTTGAGGATTGTGTTTATATGATAAGCTTCATTAACATACAATGGACAGGCCACCTCAGAGCCCCTCATCCTTTACAGCCCCTCCTAACATTTCAAAGAAATAGAAGCAAGAAGAAATGTTAACCCTTAAAACCCTTACCCAAGTAAAAGCAGTTTAAACTGAAAGAAGCATGTTTTTAATTTTTTGTTTTTTAGCTTATGCTATGTGAATGAGAACGTGTAACAAATATAAAATAGGTGTTAACCCAATTTGGCAGCCAAAGTGGAAATACACTAAGTCCTGAAACAGTGTCTTTTGCTAAACTATTCAACCACTTTCACTCTCAATCCGGCGCTCGTTGTGGAAGAAGTGGGCAGCCCCAGGGTAATCTTATACATTTGTTGTGGTGTTGTCCCAAGTTAAATAGGTACTGAGTTGGGGTTGTAACTGTGACGATGATGGGGTATTGGGGTCTTAATATTAGAAAATAGAATTTGTTTGTTTCCCAGTCAGAGCACCTGCAGGTCTTCATTTAGAATTGACAGGTCCCTCCACATTCCACAGAAGAGATGCTGGATGGCTGTGATCTTTTATTGCCCCAGCCCTAGTGAAATTTCAAAATATCTATCTAAGCCTTTTTATGGCTGGCATTAATTAAAGGCATGGCGCTAGGCCCTCCATATATTATGAGTGGACATTTTCAAATAAACAAGCAGGTCTGCCAGGTGATGACCTCGCATTCCTACGAAAGTCAGATACCCTAAGTTGGAAAATCAAGCTACATTTTGTATACTTTGGAATTTGGGCGGGGATTGGTAAACTAAAAGTTCATCCTTCGCCTGCTTTCCTGCCGCAACCCTGCCTAGGGGCTGGCTCCGGGACACCCTCCAAAAGGGGCTTATAAAATATTCTGTGTTGGCAACTAGAGGGGCTTTTGGTTTAAACATCATCGAGGAACTAGATGTCTTAACATCGCAGAAGAGTTCCCCTTTAATCTTTGGACATTATCGGCTGGAAGTCTGCTTGAAGAAGAGCCCGGCAGACTTCCACTTTGCTTCTTGGACTCTGAACTCTGTCAGAACCCACAATTCCAGGACTGTTGAGTATTCTTCTTTTATTCCCTTTTATTTTGCTGTATATATATATGTTTTCTCTTTTTATTAAATCTTTTTCTGTATATTTTCTGCACCGTTTCCTTTATTAACCTCCCTGGTGGTATGATTTTTTTTCATGTAAGTTTTCGGTCTATTTTTTTTCGAATTGTTTTCGTCTGTCGTTTTTTTTGTTTTAATATGCCACCGGTTCCGCTCCCCTGCGACGCGTACGCTCGCAAGGGATGGAACCCGGAAGACGGCATCGGCCGCAGAACACAGCGCGGCTCAAGGGACAAGGTAAGTAAATGCTATGCGAGCTACACTCGGGAATACCACCAGGGAGGTTAAAGGATGATCTTAAAAATCGTTAAACTTATCTCTACGCTCTAAATACGAACTTAAAGCATCCTTGCTCTTTGAAGAGTGCTACTGTATAGTAAATCCTGTCATATTCCTGTCTGAGAGGACAGCAGTATCACAGGTATGTTTAAGTGTTTTGAATAGTCGCAGAATTGTATTGAAAAAGACATGGTGGCAGTGGGAGTTTGTGGGTAAAGGGTTAACTGCGGAGTTAACCAACCCTGGTTACGAACGCTTTCAGTCTGCTGGCCTGAGATTGTGTCCTGCGAGCTGGGAAATCTCTGCGCAGGGTGAGGCTGAGAGTGCTATAGCCACATCCTTGTGATGCGCACGCTCGGTTCAGACTTGTGTATGGTCACGTGGGATTGACGTACAGCGGGTTTGGGCCGGGCGTACGTCACAGTAACTACTGTGAATGATCTTTATGGTATTACTCTGCATACCTCACAACTTTATGAGATAAGGGCAAGGGACACCTTATAGCACAATGTATTTAGGTAATGGACACAACCCTGCCACACCCTAGTTATGGGGACCATTAAGAATTTATATGCCAAAAATGGTTGGTTAAACCCCCCCCAAAAAAATTTTCACCATTACTTTTCCTTTATGCTGCCTTTTAAATATAACAAACAAGATATTTAAGAGATAGAATGAAGGTTTTAGAATAACACCTTTGGTAGGAGGAAAGAGGGAAAGAGGGCTTTGGTTCCAAATGAGGGACAGTTGGGAGGTATGCTCTGAATGTTGAACCCGACATTGATCTTAGTGTATTTGGACCAGTTGGATGCTAGCAGTGAAATGGATATCTCCAAACCCACCCAAGGTGGAGGAAATTGAGCTTAGTAAATCTATAGCTTTTGAAAAGCATACCTATTAGACAATGCACAAATTTGATTCCATTTGGTCCAAATGGTTGGATGTGACGTACCTATGTCC